GCTGTTGATGCAGCCTGACCCCTACACATGTGCTACTCAGTGAGTTCAAGGGCACCCTGGACTATGTAGCAAGACCCTGTCAGCCCCTGGAGTGATGAGGTTACAGGTGTGCCCCCTTGCTGGGTTTATCATGGGTTCTTGTTTCTGTCTGTATGTTGGACCAGGAGTTGGGAAGTGCAGGTTTTAGTTCTTAGTCTCAAATTCCACTGGACAGCCGTGTCACTTAACCTCTCTGGCCTATCTTTAAGAAACATCCTTGCTGAAGACAACAGGCTACCTTACTATTGTGGCTCAATAAGGATTTATTTCTTTTTTAATAATTCAAGAATTCTAGAAGTAGTTATCTTTGGGTGGTGATGTAAGGGTCAAAAATCTTATTGGATCTCTTGGCCTCTTCATGTTCACAAGATGGCTGCTGTGACTCCAGCCATCAAGATTGTGCTTAAAGCAAGAAGTGATAGATCTGGCCAGGGATCTGTGCTGTTGTCTCACTGTGGACAAAGATCTTCCCAGGTAATCTCAGGGCCTCTTCCACTCCATCTCATGGGGCAGAAGTGGGATTGCAGGAGGATATTTAGCTTTCTCACTCCGGAGAGAGAGGAGGCAGTGGAGGATGCTGGGAATGGGTTGCTGGGCAGACAGCAGGCACAGTATCCTAGGCCTGCTCAGTGCCAGGGGCGGGGACTCCCAGGGAATTTGACCCCTCCCCTCTGCTTCCGGGGCCCTGGCTGTATTTGCATAGCGAACGCCTCCCTTGGAGGTGGAATAATATTAAAAGTCAGATGTTTGTCATTATGCAAATGAACGTCTCGCTCCCGCTTAGGATTTCCATTTTTCTATGAATTATTCCTGTTCATCGCTTTTTTCCCTCCCCCTCTGGAAGAAATAAGAGCGAGCCCCGCTGGATCAGGGGAATTTTCCAATCATCCCGTCATGGTTATGGATCGAGCGGCGCAGTTCGGGCGGTGTCGGGGCCGAGAGCCGGGCCAGGCAGCGCGGCCAATGCACGGTGGGAGGCAGCAGGGCCTGGTGGGCGCGTGCTCCGGAGGAGCGTGTGTTCCCGGGAAACCGGAAGGCGGGAAGACGCCAGCCCTGCGAGGCTCGGGCCGGGGGTGCGGGGTGTCCGGGGAGGGGAGCTGCTGCCTCCTTCACCAGTAGCCCCTGTCTCCTTGTGGTCCGATATCTGTTTCCCAGGTGAACATGAACTCCGTGTCAACACGTCGTGAAACTAGGTGTGGCGCACGCCGGTGATCGCAGCACGCTGGGAGGCTGAGGCAGGAGGATCACTAGGTCAAACCCAGCCCGGACAATTTAGCAACTTAGCGAGAGCCAGTGTCAAAATAAAAACTGAAAAAGGGGCTGGGTTTGTAACTCGGTGTGAAGACCCCGGCTTAAGCCCCTGGCGCTGGGGAGGCTACGACAGAGCTGTTTGGGGACGACGAGGGCTCAGGCACTGGGATGACTTGGGGCAGGAAGACTGATGGACTCCTGATCCTGTTCCCTCATCTGCAAAATGGGGATAACGCGTGGTTTGCTGGGGTGGTGGGCGCCGTCGGGGGAGGTGGCAGTATTGCTTTTAGGAGACCGTGCAGGGGCGCCTCCTTCCCATCCAGGCCTCCCTCTGCGGGGCTGCTGCGGGTTGGCCCCGCCCTCCCGCCTTCTCAGAGGCGTGGCCAATGGCATGTGCCCTCCCCCTTAGGCATGGCGATTGGTCCGGGGATAGACACGTGACCTCGCGGTGGCCAAGGAGAGCCCCTTCCAGCCAGTCTGCAAGACTCGGCCCTGGCTCTGTCAATCCTGCAGCTGTGGTTAGCGATTGTATGAGCCCTAAATCTTTTTTCGTTTTGTTTTGTTTTTCAGTACTGGGGATGGAACCCAGGGACTTGCAAATGCTGGGCAGAGCTACTCCTCCAGCCCTTTTAATTGTATTTTGAGATAGGATGTAACTAAGTTGCCCAGGTTGGCCACGAAATTGTCATGCTCCTGCCTCAGCCTCCTGAGCAGCTGGGATTACAGGTGCTCCCTCTCCACCCCTGTGGCGCCTGTCGATATAAGAGCAGCACTGCTGAGCTCTGTGGCTCCAGGCACTAACCGTGGGGATGAGGCCAGTGAGCTGGGCCCGGGCTCCGGGCCTTCCGTCCGCCCGCGGGCTGCGCCTGTGTCCCTCGGAGCCGCGATGCTCGAGCCCTGGGACGCTCACGAGCACACTGCCCGGCATGATATTGATGCGCTCTAATCCCCCTCCCCGGGGGCCTCCTGAACAAAGTCCGGAGAATAAATATTTGTGAAGGAAATAAAAATATATTTAGAAATGTGTTCGCAGGCAGGTGTGGTGGAGAGACGTGCAGAATGGAAAAGCCAGCAGATGAGGACCCCTTCCTGGGCAGATGCTCAGATTTCCCAAAGAGCTGTGGATTAAAACCATTATGATAAAGCCAGGCGTGGTGGCGTACATCATCGTCCTAGCACTTGGGAGGCTGAGGCAGGAGGATCGAAAGTTCGAGCCCATCCTGGGCATCCTAGGGACTTACTGCGACCTTGACTCAAAATTTAAAAAACAAAAAAGGGCTGAGGATGTAGCTCAGTGCGAAGGCCCGAAGTTCAGTCTCCAGTACCAAGAAACATAATGAGTGACGATAAAATTGCAAATTTAGTGATTTCTGTTTTGTTTTGTTTTTTGAGACAGAGCTTTGCTATGTAGTTCGGGCTGGCCTCAAACTCACTATGGGGCCCAGGCTGGCCTCGAATTCTCCGAGATCCTCCTGCCTCAGCCTCTGGAGTGCTGGGATGACCCGGCGCCGGCTTCCTTTCGGCGGGGCTGTCCTTGCCCGCACCCTGGGTGTTGCGGGCGCGGGTCTGAGTCAGCTCTGTGCTCCCTGGGGGGTGGGGGGTGGGTGTTAGGGAGCCAGGACCCAGCTAAACGTCAGGTCTGCATTGGAAAACAAAGTCCCGGTTTTTGCAGAGAATCTCGCACCCGGTGGGCCGGACGCGGGCAGTCGCCTGCTGTCGCAAACGCTGGCGGCGCCCAGGCCCTGCGGTCCCTCTGGGCCGCCGCGAGGTGGCGGGCCTGTCCCCTGGCAAGCCCCCGGCTGGCAGGCAGACGTCTCCGTGCTGCGGCGCGGCCTGGCTGCAGTACCCCGCGGGGCCACGAGATGGCAATGTGGCGCTTCGCCACCTGCACGAGCGCGGAGCCGGGGGCGCGCGCGGGCCGGGCAGTCGCGGCTGGGGGTGGGGCCGCCCGGCCTGGGGGAACCTCGGGCCGCTGGACAGGGCCCGCAGGATCGGCCTCCCGCACCTACAGAACCGGAAGAGCGGAAGCACGCCTGGCCTCAGTTTCCCCATCCGTACACGAGGCTGGGGAGCCTCGGGGTCTCTAGAGGCAGCTGCCAGCGCCTGGCCTCCCCTGGGCCCCAGAATCTGGGAAGGCTCAGAGGGACCCCAGAAATCCCACCAGGGAGGCAGGGGCCTGGGGCAGACGAGGCCACGCGAATTCTCACCCTGCTTGCCCTGGAGCCCGGGAGGGCAGGCAGGCCCGGGGTCACCAGCCCGGGTGGGGATGGCCACCCTGAGCAGCAGACCCTCCCTCCCCGGCTGTCAGGGGCCACAGCTCGGCCTGGAGCGGAGGGGAGCGAGGTCTGTGGTGCCGGTCACAGCTGGCTCTGTCTCGGGGCTGCGGGCCCGGCGATCACCGCCCACCCAGGCCACAGCCCGTCCTCTACCCGGTCTGGAGACGGCGTCCCTGAGGTTACGGGTGACCAGGCCCACAGCTCACCCTGGCCTTGCCCTGCCGGGGTCCCCGCTGTCGTCCCCCAGCTCGGGACCCGGTGAACCCTGACGCCCGGCCGTGTAGCAGACAGGAGGCCGGGTGGCCAGCTGGGCACAGAGCCACTGTCTGCCGGCCAGAGACCGGGCCAAGGACCCTGGAGGCCTGGGCAGACCTGCGAGGCGGAGCCCGGTGCTGCGCCCCTGGGCAGACGCGGGAGGGTGACGGCCGAGTGACCGGAGTGACAGTGCAGGCGCACTCGTGTGCCCGAGGTCAGGGCCTCTGTGGGCCTTCGGGCGGCTGTTGCGGTGGCTCCCATTTCTCAGATGGAGAAACTGAGGCACAGGGAGGAAGAAACGGAGACCAGGGTTGCACAGCCAGGGCGTGGGGTTGGGACCGGGCGGCGTCCCAGGTCTGGCCCGCAGCAGCCCTGCCGTCCGGGGCAAAGTCGGACCCACTTTCCCGTGGGAGACCGAGGCGCTGCTGGGAGGGCGGTTGGGGCCCCCCGGCGGGCCAGGGTCTCGGGCTCCCTCCCGGCGCCCCCACCTGACCCGCGCTAGGAGCTCGACCCCGGACTCCGGCGACCTGGTCTCCCAGGACAGAAGTCGGGGTCTCTGCGGGCCGGGGCCCGCGGGAGAGGGAAGGCGCGTCCTGCGCGGGTCCGTGGGGCTCCCCGCCCGGTGCGCTGTAAACATCCCCGAGACAGCCTCTCCTGTCTCAGCCTCCTGGCCGCGCCCAGCCCGGCTCTGGGGCTCGGGTTTCTCTGCTCGGAGCCTGGGTTCCGGGGGCGCCCCCTCCCCTCGCCGCGGGACCCGGAGCGGAGCCAACTGTGTCACGAGACCGCGGTCGGGGCCTCCTCCAGACGCCACCGCCCGCGCCGGGACCCCGATCCCGGGCCGTCACCTCGACCTTGGGGCGCCCGCCCCTCGCGCGCCCCGTCCTCCCCGTTCCCGTCCCGCCCCCCGCTCCCAGGCCTGGGAACTGCTCCTCCCGCCCCCGCCCCGCGCTCCGCCCGCCCCGCGCGCCCCGCCCCGCGCTCAGTCTCGCCGCGCTCCGCTTGAGGGGCGGCCGCACCGGCGCGCGCCGGGGACCGCGATGGGCCGGGCGCCGGGGCGCGGGGGCCTTGGCGGCGGGCGCGGGGGCGGCGCGGGGCGGACGGAGCGCGGGGCGGCGGGCGAGGGCGTGCGGGGCTGAGCAGGCCCGGCCGCCCCACTCCCGGCCGCGCACGCCGAGCCGGAGCGCGCACAGGCGCCGCCGAGGAGGCGCCGCCGGCCCCGGCGCTGCGTCTGGAGCCGTGGGGAGCGAGCCATGCCCGGCGCCTGGCCGTAGCCGCCGGGCTCTCGAGGACCATGCGGGCCCCCGGCCCCGCTCCGCCGATCCGGCTGCTGCTGGCTCTCGCTGCGCTGCGCTGCTCAGGTAACGCGCCCGGGACCCGACCCGACCCGACCCGACCCGACCCGACCCCGCCGAGCAAAGTTGGCTCCCGGCGGGGCGGCCGCCTCCTCCCCGAGTCTGGGCGGCTTCCGTCCCGTCTCGGGGGCCTGGGCGGATCTGGGGCGACCCTGGGGAGCCGGGGACCCCGGCGCGGGTCCCTCTGCCCAGCGCGAGAGCCCGACCCCTCTGCCGGCCCCCGCTTCCCGCGGATCCTTCCGGGCGCGCGGGGGCAGCACACACGGCGGCGGGGGCGCCCGGGGGCCTCGTCCGCTCCCCGCCCTGCTGGGCAGCCCCGCCGCAGGTCGTGGTCCCAGGCGGCCGGGCCTGCGGCCTCAGGACACCCGCGGGGCTGGAGTTGGCTCCTCCAGCGCCCCTCTGCGGGCGCGCTCCAAGGGCCCCCAAGTGGCCTCTGGGTAAGGCGGCCGCCCCGGCGCCGGGACCCTGAGGCGGGCGGGACGGGGCAGCGCGGGACCCCGGGGCTGAGGAGAGGGCTCCCCGCCGGCCGCGCGCCGCCGTCCCCGGCCCCGAGCACGCAGGGTCGGCGGAGCAGGTGTTTTCTGCCTCGGCCGCCGGAGCGGGGGTCTCGGGTCGGCGTCGTGCGGGTCCCGCGGAAGCTCGCCGCCTCCCCAGCCCGAGCAGGGCGAGCGCGAGGAACCCAGGCAGTCGCGAGCATCGCTCGTGCAGGGGAGCTTGGCGCTCCAGACCTTCCCAAAGCGGGGCCAGGGCTCGGGGGAGGTCGTTTTTGCTTCGGAAAACCTCTCCCCGCGTCCTCACGGACAGACCACCCGGACGCGCAGGGTGCGGTCGAGAAACATAAACTTTACTTTGCAGTCTGCGGGCCTGAGGTTGCAGCCAGCGGCGCATCTGCGTGTCAGCGGGCCTCGGGCCGAGCTGCTGGGAAAGTGGTGGACAGCTTCTTCCTCCCAGACGCCCCCAGGGCCCCCGTGCGGGCCAGGTGCCCCCCGGCCTGGCTCGGGCCGGTCCCCTCCAGCCCCGGGGAAGGAGCAGGCTGACAGCTGTTTTGCTTTTCTTGGCTTGGCCCGCTGCGCCCCGGCGCCAGGCTGCTAGGGCTGGGGCTGCTTTCTCTGGGCGGAAGCCCTGGGACCTGTTTCCAAAAGCGCAGTCCCTACGACTTGAAAATTGCAGTTTTGTCGCTGCAGTTTTGTTTCTCCCCGGGGGTCAGCGTTTGTCTGGAGGTGCGGAGCAGGCAGTGGGGTTCCCTCGGAGAAGCTGCCTGCCTAATGCTTTGCGCCAGACTCGGCTGATGACCCTTTCTGTCCCCGGCCGCGGAACAGAGACTCCCAGTTTGGTAACTGTATGTAGCCCTCGCTCCAAAGCAAGCCTGAAATCGCCGAAAGGCGCTTGGCTGCTTGCACCTGGTGGAAAATCGCGCAGGCTTTGAGCGCAGCACCCTCGGCACGGCACTGGGTTTGCGGATCACTGTGGGTGCGCCCTCCTCCTGGCCACCGCGCAGGCCGGGGCTCTGGGCAGGCGGCTGCGACCTCAGGGGCGAGGAAGCGCCCGCCTTTGCTCCTGCCCTGCGCGGGCAGCGCGCTTGGTGGACTCCTTCCAGCCTTGCCATCGCAGACACTGGGAAGTGGACTTGCTGAGCGCCGGCTCGCATCCCGCAGCTTAGGAACCCGCCCGTTTTCCAAGCCACTCTTGTGCCTGTGGGGCTTTGCGATGAGCCCTGCGGCTGCGCCCCTGCAGGGGAGAAGGGACCTGCACTCTCGTCCCGGGTCTGGGACCGGCGGGGGGCGCGCGCCCTGAGGCTGCAGCACGGCCAGCTGACAGGTGTGGGGCTGTTTCGGAGCAGAGGCGCCCGAGCCCTGCCTGGCATCTTGGCACCGCGAATGGTGTACTTCTCTCTCGTCGCAGCAGGGGCCCGGGAGGGGAACGGCCTGTGTGTGTGGCTGCTTCTGGAGAGGTGGCCCGGGTGGTGGCCGCTGCTATGCAAATGCTGTCGCCTCCCGTGATTTAAGGGTGGCCCAGCGGAGGTTCCCAGAGTAAATCACTCCCTGCCCCCGCCTCCCGCCGGATGCGGGGCTCTGGGGAGGCGCCCGCGCTCCGAGAGACACAAAGAACCCCCTCTCGGGCTGGAAGTCGGGCCGCTGGGCTCCGGACGCGGCCCCCAGCTTGGTGCGGCTGGGTGGCTCCTTTTTCCCTCCCGGGCGACTTGGAATGGGATGGAGCGGGCTGTTTCCCTTTAAGCAAAGGAGTCGCCTCCGTCACGTGGGCGATGGAGCCTCCGAGGCCAGGTGCTCCGTGACAGGGATGTGGCCGATGTTTCCTCCGAGCGGCGGCTTCCCGGAGAGAAGCCCCTCGCAGGCGCGAGCGGGAAGGGGGAGACGGGCGTCCTGCGGGCGATGCCCTGGCCGGGTGGCGGGCGGGGCTGTGTGCCCACTTCCTGGTGCAGGACCTTCCAGCCCCGGGCCCCGGCCCGGGACCTTGCTGGAAAAGGGTCCTCGTGTGCAGCCCTCAGGGCTGCGACTCGCCCGGGACCAAGGTCGGGAGGATGGCGACCTGTGAGGCAGACAGCAGCAGGTGTCCCCAGAAACGGGGGGGGGGATTGCCGTAAAGCTGGTGCTGACGGCCCGCACCCGGCGCCTGTGCGATGGAGGCGCCCGCCCTGGTCTGGGGTGTGCTGGGGGCGCTCAGCCTGCGCTTGGCAGGCGAGGCCGCGTCCCTGGCCTGGCACCACTCGGGCTGACGCTGGTTCTGTTATGGGGCCCGGAGTTGGGGCAGACTTGTTCCTGTTTCTGTTTTGCTCTCACCTCAAGCTCTGGCTCTTAGTTTTTAAATTTTATTTTTTGTGGTACTGAGGACTGAACGCAGGGCCTTCACGCTGAGCTACACCTCCAGTCTTTTTTTTTTGATACCAGGGATCAAACTTGGGTCCTTGCGCTTGCAAGGCAGGCGGCGAAACCGCTGAGCTAAATCCCCGGCCCCCCAGTTTTTTTAGAGTTTTGAGACAGGGTCTTGTTAAGTTGCTGAGTTGCCCAGGCTGGGCTCGAACTTGGGACCCCCCTGCCTCTGCCTCCCTCCCTCAGTGCTGGGATCACAGGTCTGCGCCACCACGCCTGGCTGCGGGCCACTGAATTTTGGTAGCGATTTATTTGATTTTGTGACTTATTTGGATTCAAAAGTTGAAGGGATTCATCTGAAGTGGAGGGGAGAGTTGTACCCAGAGTGGGAAGCCTGTGTTGGGAATCCTCCTCCTCCTGACCCTGGGCTGCTTGGCCTGGAGGGCTTTGGGGTCCCTTGCCAGTTGCTGGCACTAAGCACCTGGAGACTGTCAATGTTACAATCCAGGTTCCCCTTCTGTTAAGAAATTGGCCCAGCCCCTTGACCACTCTGCACTCAGTTTTCCCAGCTGTGAAGCGGGCCCTGAGACCTCTCCTGCCAGGGAGGTTTTTTCGACACCAGCCTCATGCACACGGGCAGGGCTGCACCCGGAGGAGCCCAGGGTGGAAGAGGGCAGGGAGGGCAGGCCAGCCGGGGCACCTGTCCCTCTGCACTCCCAAGTCCGCTGGGCCCTGGCAGCCCTGAGGCCAAGAGCAGGATTGCCCAGACGGGGACACTGAGGCCAGGGAGCCCAGGCCCTGGTGGCAGAGTCCAAGGTGGCAGGGCGGGGTCTCCCTCCTTCTGCCCTGCTGGTGCCCGCCAGGCCTGGAGCTTTGACTCAGCTCCCCGGCCTCAGCCTTGGGTGCCCGAGACCTTGAGGCCCACATGTGAGGGCAAGTTGGGGACGTGTGAGAAGCCACACATGCACCCGCAGGAACCCCAGCCTCGCTGGCTCCTCCCAGTGGATGTAGGACAATGTGATGAGGGCGACCGGCAGCAGATGCAGGAGGGCTTCTCGGAGGAGCTGGCTCTTTGCTCACCTGAGGCCAAGCAACCGGAAAGAGCCCCCAGGCAGGAGGAATGGGAACCCTCGACAGGTTCTGTGCCAGCATCTGGCAGAAGCAAGTACTCAAGAGCTGCTGGCCTCTACATTCATTCCCTCACGCACTTATTCCCTCACTCACGCATTCATTCATTCCCTCACTCGCTTATTCATTCACTCACCCATTCACCCACCCACTCACTCGCCCATTCACCCATTCACTCAGTCATTCATTCAACAATCATATTTTGTTGTTTGTTTGTTTTTGGTACCGGGGATCGAACTCGGGTCCTTGCACTTGCGCAGCAGGTGGTGAAACCACTGAGCTAAATCCCTGGCCCCCATTCAACAATCATATTAACAAGCACCAAGTGCTTTAGTCATGATCAGGAATAAAGGAGCCAGCCCTGCCCCAGGGAGCTGCATTCTCTGGATGGAGAGGACAGTGACGCAAATAACACACATGCTTTCCAGCAGGTGCCACAGAGCTGGGCAGCTGTCACTTCTGTCCCCTAATCTCGAACCCTGCCATTGTCTCCCCTGCCAGACTGCCCAGTTCTGCAGCAGCTGGGGCACCTTGCGCTGAGTCCTTCCTCGGAGCCCAGGCTCCGGGACTGATCAATACCTGCTTCTCGCACTCAGGCCCCAAAATAGTTACATAAAAAAATCAATCGTGCCCAATTGGATTCTGTGTATTTTATGACTAGGGTGGTGGAGCACCTGCCTGGCTTGCAGTGTTAACCCCAGTGAAGCCCTGGGGGTCCCTGGTTCTCGAGGCCTCGCTCCTGAGCCCCAGGATCTGTGCCCAGGAAGGGCAACGAGGGGACAGCAGGCTCCAGCCCCGCCTGGCTCTGAGCTTACAGCTGAGGGCCCCCCCCCCCCGAGAGCCCTGCAGGGCTGGCTCTGCCTTGGCCCCACCTGGCGAAGCTCCGTGTGTGTGTGTGTGTGTGTGTGTGTGTGTGTGTGTGTGTGTGTGTGTAGGGCAGCAGCGTTGGCCATGCCTGGCAGCCGTGCCCATGACCTGGGGTCTCCGCGCTGTGCACCCTGGCTCTTCCGTGTCCCCCTCTGCCCCCTCTGCCTGGGGACACGGGACCCA